AAAAAAAAAAAAAAAAAGTTTTTTTTTGTAGAGACAGGGTCTCACTATATTGCCCAGGCTGGTCTCAAACTCCTGGATGTTGTTTTCTGAATTTCTGTGCTACATATACCAAATGGTTCTATATTTTATTATTCATTGAACTGTATTTATAAAAGTAAGCTGGGAGGCTGAGGAGAGAGGATTACTTGAGGCCAGGAGTTCAAGACTAACCTGGGCAACTAGCCTGGACTCCCTGGGACCACACCTGTTTAAGAATGCTTATTTATCTATCAATCCCTTTCCTTGCGTCAGTTCTCACTTCTGCTTTTTAACTTTGGAGTTCTCTAAGACTCTTATGTCACATCTCTGAATCCTCATGTTTGTCCTTTCTCTCCCAGAATTATACTGCATATTCTCTCTTGATCACTGTATGTGTTCTTCAGAAAAGGCTCCCTTCTCTTCTTAGCAAGAGGGGGCTTCGGTATTCTCAGGTTATTGCATCTTTAGATCTAGTAACTGTTTCTCTTTAGTATTTCTTTCCAAAAACAGCTGAAACTCTAGTTTCTTTATTTCACCTACATGTCCTTCTATCAGTGTCCTGGGTGGATTCACAGCATTAGCATTTTTATGAAAAAAATGTTTCCAGCTCTTAACTTTCTTCCTCTCCACCCCACTTCCCTTTTTACTTTTGGTCCTTGTGGCTGGCCCAGATGTGCCAGCCTTTCTCTGACTGTGCTCTGACCTTGGGTAGACATGTTCTCAGCAACCCCAGAAGAGGAGGCAGGGAAAGTTCTGAAGGACACTGAGTGAGCCATTACACCCTAGTGCCCCGGGCCACATCACAGGGTCTACTCTCCCACTCCAGTTTCCCTGTCTTTGGACTTGATACCTCCCCTCTGATAAAGAATAAAGACACTGGACTTGCTTCCTCAGTCTCTTGTAGATTCCCCATCAGGCCACTGTTTTGATTTTTTCCGAGACAGAGTCTTGCTTTGTCACCCAGGCTGGAGTGCAGTGGTGCAATCTTGGCTCACTGAAACCTCGACCTCCCGGGCTCAAACAATTCTCCTGCTTTAGCCTCCCAAGTAGCTGGGACTAGAGGGTGCACCACTACATCAGGCTAATTTTTTGTATTTTTAGTAGAGATGGGGTTTGACCATGTTGGCCAGGCTGGTCTCAAACTCCTGACCTTGTGATCTACCATGCCTGGCCAGGCCACTGTTTTTATACATTTTACAGAGTGATCTGGAAAGAACGGGATCATGCCTCTAACAGCAGCAGCATGGTACTATATAAGGAGCAAAACACAACAAGCAGAGGGTAAGCTTGCTGCTGGCCAGTGGGGCTACCGGATGCCCCTTTGTTCCCCTCTGGGCCTCATCCGCACTTTTATATTGAAGGAATGGGTCTTAACCCTCAAGGCCTTATGATTCTGATGTTCTTATGGCCATGACTTACCTCACTATGGGGAGTCTGTTTCAGGCTCTTCTCTGCTTTATCCACAAAGTCTTTTTCCTCAAAATACAAATAACTCTTGAATTTTATCAAAGCCTTGAAAACCAGGAAAGAAAAAAAGGCATAATGAAGTATCAGCTCTATTATCATGAAAAAACCCCATCCACACACAAATAGCATTAACCCCTTGAGGTCTACAACAGACATAAAAAAATCTCTGCAGTTTAATTTTGCTAGATTTTGAGCTATTATATACTTCCTAAAAAATACCAGACGGTACATGTTTGTTAAAACATTTTCAGAAGCCCTTTAGTAAGAAACATGAGAAAATACATCCATATAAATATATATACACTTAACACAACAAAAATACCCATAAAAGTGGCTAAATTCACAAATCTTTTCCAATAATCTCACTGAAAGAAAGGACAAGTTTATTGAGTCTACAATCTCTTATTCTTTTTGTTTTTTTGAGACAGAATCTCACTCTGTCCCCCAGGCTGGAGTACAGCGGTGCGATCTTGGCTCACTGCAACCGCTGCCTCCCAGGTTCAAGCAATTCTCCTATCTCAGCCTCCCAAGTAGCTGGGATTACAGGCGCATGCCACCATACCTGGCTAATGTTTACATTTTTAGTAGAGATGAGGTTCTATCATGTTGTCCAGGCTGGTCTCAAACTCCTGACCTCAGGTGATCCACCTGCCTTGGCCTCCCAAAGTGCTGGGATTATAGGTGTGAGCCACTCCACCCTGTTGACAAT